TTTTTTAATTATAAAAGAATTTTTTTTTTGTTTTATTTTTCCAGGATTTTTCTTTTTTAATATTTTATAGAATTTAACGGATCGATTAAGATGTCCTTCGCACTTTTTCCACGGAAAAAATAATTCCTGGAAAAACAACAAAAAAAATAAATAAATAAAAACTTTCGTTTCCTATATTTTTATTTATTGACATTTATTATTATTAATTTAATTAATTAATTAAAATGGAAATCTCTTGGAAAAATGTTTATCGATTAAGACATTGGAGAAAAAAAGTTTTTTTTTTTTTTAAAATAATTTTTGTTAACCGAACAAAAATTAAAACTGATATAAATTTTTATATAAAAAAAACATTAAAATGCTCTTTGTTTTACCTTTATCATCATCATCATTATTATTATTATTATTAATATTATTTAATGTTTTTTTTGTTTGTTTTCCAATCGAGTTTTTATTTGATTTAAAAATTTTTATCGATAATTAAAAAAAAAAAAAACAGGAAAAACGCCTGCAAAAATTAAATTATGCATTTGACGTTTTTTACAAGTATTAAAAATTAACTAATTGTTAAATTGTAGGCGTTAACCTTTAAAATTTTCTAATTGCATCATCGAAAAAATTTTTTAATTTTAATTTTTTTTTTTTAATCAAATCAATATTTGAACGTATTAGAAAAAAAAATTCGTTAATTAAAATGAAGAAAATTATTACGTATTATTATTAGATTTTTATTACATTCTCATTACGATCAGATCGTTCAGATCGATCAGATTTAAATTATTAAAAAAAAAAAATGATGAAAAAGAAAAGGAAAAAAAAGAAAACATTTGTTTAAAAAAAAAAAAAAACATGGCGCGATTACATTATTAGTCCTTAGTACTAAAAAAAAAAAATTTTTTTTGTTATTAACGATGATTGTCACGTATCATCAGTTCCTTGACTTTGATGATAAATTAACCAATCAAATGAAAACAAATGAAAACTGTCAATTTAATTTAATTTATTGTTTACTTAAGGTTAACGTGTTTGTTTAATTTTACCATATTTTTGATTTAAATTAAAAAAAAAAACAAAAAGGATTATTCGATATTTAAAATTAAATTTTCCTTTTTTTTCGTTTCGTTTCGTTTTCATTCTGCTTTCGATAATTCGCTTTTATATTAAAACAAACAAAAAAGAAAATGTGGCCGGGCGTTTAGAAATTCTAATTTTTTTTTTTTTTTATTCGAAAAATACAAAATATCATCATCATCATCATTATCACGACGACGACGCAAATCTCTAAGGTACGTTATTAAATTATTATTATTATTATGAAAAATATATATTTTTAATTTACCTTACGTGAAAGTTGAAATTTTTTATTCTTCGTCGATGAATTTCTAACTGATTTTTCGGATCATACCCCCAAAAAAAAATTTGACGTGTCAGAAGAAAAACTAAAAAAAAAAAAAAAATAAATCAAATTAATTTTATTATTAATTAAATTAAAATCAATTGTTTTAATTAATAAGAATTTTGTTATGTTCGTTTCTTTCTTTTTTCGTTCCATTCATTCATTCAATCATTCATTCATTCATTCGGGGTTTAATTAAAATTATTTTAAATATTGTTACAGAGAAAAAGAAAAAAAAATTTTTTTACTTTTACGTTTTAATTTTTTATTATTATTTATTATTAATACGTTTTAATGACACGTTTTTTTTTTTTTTTTTTTTTTTTTTTTTTAAACAAAGTAACAATAATTAAATGAACCGTGAAATTTTCGATGACGTAAAAGAATAATAATAATAATAATAATAATAATAATAATAATAATAATAATAATAATAATAATAATAATAATAGTAATAATAATAAAATTTCCGCATTTTTACGTTTCATTCAAACAAAAAAAAAACAATAGAAATTTTCACAAAACCTTCGACATTGTTGGGAAACCTTTTTGCGATTTAAAAAAAAAAAAACCTTCATTTTCTCTCCTTTTATTTCTCTCTCTCTCTCTCTCTCTCTCTCTCTCTCTTTCTCTCTCTTTAATTTCTACAGAAGGGATTTTTTTAAAAAAACGAAATTAAAATAAATAAAATACAAAAAAAAGAAAAAAAAGGAAAAAAATTTAATTAGACCCTCGCACGAATCCGCGCATGCGCAAAATAACAATAAAAAGAAAATTTTTACTGAATGAGTTTTACGGGGAGAATTTGCTTTAACTCCTCCTCCTCCCTTCCTCCCTCCCTCTCCCCTCCAAAAAAAAAATGCTTCGGAAAAAAAAATAAAAATTTTCCCTTTTTTTTTACCTTTTTATTTACCTGCCACCGCCTTTTAAACTTCACCGCCATCTTAAAGTCGGGGGCGCAGGGGGGAGGGAGGAAAATTGCGCAGAAACCAAAATTTTCACAAACATTCACACACACACACATATATTTATAATTTTTTTTTTTGCGAACGTTTTGTCATTTTCATTTGTCGTCTGCTTTTGGAATAAATGAAAAAATTACAAACTACCCCGTTAAATAAAAAACAAAAAAAAAATTTCAATGGGGGGTAAAATTGGGGGTAAAAATTCTTGGGGGCGAATAAATATTGAAAAAAAAAAAAAAGGAATCTACCAAAATGCGAAAATTTCAACTTCCGGTTTTATTTATTTATTAATTTTTTTTTGATTATGTAAAAATATTATCATCATCATCATCATCATCATCATCATCATCATCTTCATCATCATTATTATTATTATTATTATTATTATTATTATCAACATTGACATAAATAAATAAAATTTTTGTTTTTTCCATTCCAGATTCCATTCGTGCGACACGAAAAAAAAACAACGATTTTTAAAACTCCCGCCATTTTTAACCTTTTTCGAATTGCGTCAGATTCGTCGGAAAATTTTCAACCCTCTCCCCCTTCTCCCCCCGTTATCCCCCTCCCTTAGAAAAAAAAAAATTTCATTTTCTCAACAGACCTGCCCAGTATCGATCGAGCAACAGGCTGTAATATGCGATATCGTTTCTTTCTCATTTAGTTTTCTTCCATAGTTTAAATTCGGATTCAACAACAACAATAACAAACGCGTTTGTTATTCGCACGACAAATCATTAACAAACAAACAACCGCGTTCATCATCATTATTATTATTATTTATTAAATATTTTCGTGTAAAAGGGTTAAAAAAAAAAATCATGGTAACACGGTTGCATTTTATTCCCGTTGGTGAGCATTTATCGATTTGAAACCCACGCACATTTTATCATTATTATTATTACATTCTCCAACCAGATTTCTTTTTATTTAAAAAACGTTCAGACGTTTTTCTCCGTCGCGTTGTTAACAGCTGTTTTATTTTGTTCAGCATATATTAATAATAATAATATATATATTTAATAATAATAATAATAAAAATTAATCGAGTTTATATTATACGAAGAAGTCGCGGGGGGGGGAGCGTGGGTTAAAGGTTAATAAATAAAAGTGTGAGTGTTTGTTTTAATACGAGGGGGTGGGGGGAAGAATGGTTTTTTTTTATATCCGATACTTATAATAATATGATCATGTGACTTTTATATTATTAAAGTATATATTATATGTAATATAAACGAGGTTTAATAATTCCTCGTAATCATAACCGAGAGTTAATAATTATGCGACACCACCACCACCACCGCCATCATCACCACCATCTTATAAATGGTATTTTTTTTTTAATATTGTCATGTTTCGTATCGTTTACCATCGGACAAGATCTTATTTTAACTGACGGACCTGTTGGTGAGTACATATATTTATTAATTTATTAATTATTATTATTATTATCGAGTGACAACAAATCACTTTTATGTTAATTGCGTCGCATATTATATTCATCCATATGTAAATTCATTTTTTTTTTCATATAAATTTTCTGCGATTTAATCGATTATTCGTTCCTATCTCTCTCTCTCTCTCTCTTACACCCACACACACACACACACACACACACACACACACATACACTCTCTCTCTCTCTCACACGTTTTTTGATTAATAAAAAATATTTACATTCGTACATGAAAATAAATAAATAAATCCTTTTAATTAATTAATTTATTTATTTCTTATCGTCGTAAATTTTTAACCGGAATTCAAATCACATCCATAAATCAATCAATCAATCAATCAAACAATCAGAGATAAAAATTAATAAATATTTATTTATTGTTTTATTTATTTTAAATGAAAAAAATTCGGGAGTTCCCCGAATCCCGTGATCCGATTGGAAGGAGACAAAAACTAAATTTTAATATAAACTTTGAGGTAAATTTTTAATAATAATAATAATAATGAATAAATATGAAAATAATCAATGAAAAATACAAAGTTGGAAAAAAATTATTATTATTATTATTATCATTATCGCGGACCCCTTTTTTAATGAGGTCAACGAACGTAATTCGTACAGTTTTTTTTTTTATCAATGGTACATTACCATATGTCGTTTAATTATAAAAAAAAAATACGAGGGCGTTGATAATTTTTTATTTATTATTATTATTATTTATTGTTTAAACAATTTTTTTTTTCCACGAGTAAACAAAAAATAATAATAATAATAAAGAAAAGAAAAGGAAAATTTTTTTTTTCTTTAAGGGTAAACACGATCGATATAATTTTATTTAAAGGGTAATAAAATTGTTTGTTACGAATGACGTCAAAAGATTATTTATTTATTTATCACGTACAAACGACCTGTTTGTTTTTGATTATTTAATAATAATAATAATAATAATATCATCTTTTGATCATATAATAATATTAATTATATGATAATGAGATATGATGTTTAAATATTTAAATAACGTTTTTGAAATTGTAAAAAAAAAAAAAAAATTTTCTTTTATAATGACGTCATTAAAAGGAAATTTTTGTTTAATAAAACAAAGGAATTTTATTTTAAATGTGCTATTATTATTATTATTATTATTATTTTTACATTAAAAATTTAATAATTTTTATATTGCTCAAGGACTATCGTCGCCGCTACCTTCCTGGTTGGCATTCGGTGAACCTTTACATGCAACAGCTTTAGCTCTCCTTGGCCAATCGCATACCTAAAATTTCATTTTAAAATTTAAATGCCTGAATTTTGCGTTTAAAAAAAAAAAATTCGGAGGGTGACGTACCTCATCTCTGGGATTGAAATGCGTATTTGGAGGACATTCGAAAAGAATTCCTACACCAAGTTCACATTTGTAAAAATGACTTTTCGTCGGACCCGGAAGATGAATCAATCGTGTGAAATCCGAAAGAGGACATTTTAATTTACAATAATCGATTGGGGGTTTGGGTGTGTTGTTGGGGTTGTTGAGTACGGGTGGAAAGTTGGGGATTGATGGATTGTTCGGTTTGAACGAGTTGTTTGGGTTGTTTGCAACTGGCGGAGGGTTGTTCGGTTTCAAGGAGTTGTTTGGATTGCTTGCAACTGGTGGAGGGTTATTCGGTTTGTTGGGAGCAGACGGATTGTTCGGTCTGAACGAGTTATTTGGGTTGTTTGGTACAGGTGGTGGGTTATTTGGTCTAAAAGTATTGTTTGGATTGTATGCAACGGGTGGCTTACCCGGTCTGAAAGAATTATTTGGTCTGTTTGGAACTGGGGGGTAGTTCGGTCTAAACGGATTGTTAGGTCTGAACGAATTATTAGGTACGTTAGGATAGTAAGGATTATTGGGTCTATACAAATTTGAATCTAAAAAATCATCTGCAACAACACCACGAACAATAAACACGCTCGCGATTAATAATAAAAACACTAAATTATTTTTAATCATCATCATCATTTTTTCTATCACTTTTTACGATAAAATTTTTTTTCTTGTTATCACTTTAACTGGCACTCTCTTTTTAAATAATTTAGTGTGTCTAGTTCAGGTTTAAACTCATATCGTACCTTAAATTTTTTTTTTTTCTAAAATAAATAAAAATAAAATTTTTTTTATTTGCCATAATAAAAATTAATAAATATTTAAACGATTAAAAAGGATAATCAAAAAATACTTAAATTACACGCACACGCGCACGCACACCCACACGCACACGCATAGATAGTGATAATATTAACGGGTACTTTAAATTCCTGTTGGTTTTTTGATAACATTTTTACACTTGACCCATATTAAATCGACATTTTTTCCAATAATAACCTTTTCCGAGTTTTTCGTGCCTATGCAAAACCTAAAAATTTTTTTTTTTGTATTTTCAGGTTGTTTGTTCAACAGCGAACTATGCAAACCAGAAGACGAATGGTGTTTTGACGGTACGTAAAAAAAAGGAAAAAATTTTTTCATTTTGATAAATAAAACGAAACACGACACAGTAGAAAAATATAAAAAGTTACGTGGGAGTTTTTTCATTTATTTATTTTCCTTTAACTCCAGCAACGCTGGAAAAAAGAAAACGCGTGGGTAAAGTAGAAATTTCCAGAAAGCAAAAATAAAATAAAATAAATTATATATATAGAAATTTTCTTTAAAAAAAAATCAATAACTCTCTACGAAAACGTTAATAATAATAATAATAATAATGACGGGTAAAAAAAAAAAAAAAAAAAAATGAAAAACAATTTTTCACGTTAACCCGTAAAAAAAAAAAAATGTCGTACATTGGATGTTATTTATTAATTTTTTTTTAATTTATTTATTAAAAACCACAAACACACTAATTCCACGTCGATCGATAAATTAATTAATTTTTTCTTTTGACACGAAAAAAAAAAAAAGGAAAAATTAACTACCAACGAAGATCAAATTTATTAACCAATAAAAAGAAAAAGTTTTTCTTTTTAAAATAGAGAAGAAATTTTTTTTTTTTTTTTATTATTAGGTTGGCAATAGTTGTTTTTTTTTTCAATATTGTAAACCTGATTCCGAATATATATAACTTTTAGAAGAAGCCCAAAAAATTGTAACTTGACCTTTTTTTTTATTTTTTTCTATGTTTGCGTTTACTTTCATTTCATTTTTCCTTTTTCCTCTTTTTCTTTCTCTTTTCTTTTTGTTCTATGACGTCATAGAAATAATCGTCGTTAAAAAAAATTTTTCAGATAATGCATTTGGAAAATGTATATCGTACAAAGATGGTACAGAAGGAGGAGAAGAAGGAGAAGGGGGTGAAGATTTTTACGAATATCAAATCGGAAGTGATTTTTTACGGTTACTTAAAAAAGAATTAGAAAATCTTATTAAAAACGGATATAGATGGAGTCACGTGTATACTCAATGCGTTATAAAATCTCTTTTGTTTTCTTATCGTTATCAGTAAGTACCTTTTTTTTTCCTTTCGGGGTGAAACCTTAAGCTAACCTTTTGCGTTATTTAATAATATATATTTTGTTCTTTTTTAGGAAAAATTTCGATAAAACTTTGTGCGATTCTTTACCCGATTACGATCCAAATTTGTTTTACTTCGATGACGGTTCCCAGGTAAATTTTTTTTTCATCCCTCCCTACCACCCCCTGCCCTCCGCCTCGCTCCTCGCCCTCCGGGGATTTTGAAATTTAATCGTTTCCTTCGTTTTTTTTTTTTTTTTTAGGACATCGATCCGAAAAGTGTCGGACAAGTACAATTTACTCCGAGTGTTGTCGATCCTCATGCAGAATTTGCTGACGAAATTTATTTACCGGTCATCGGTAAGGATTTTTGGAACGACGACACGAACGGCGAAAGTAAGTACAAACGTTCTAGGAAAATTTGGTTGTTTGTTTGTTTTGTGTTTAAATTAAAATTTTTTTTTTTAATCACCAGATGGCGTCAGAGCCAAAACGAGAAACGGTTACATGACAGACATTCAAGAAACTCTCATGTTAAAAAATGGTAATAAAAATGAAAAAAGAGGACGACAGCAACAACCGGACAGTTTTGAAATTCCTTCCGGTTATTTAAATTACATCAACGAGTTACCCGATGATGATAATGATAATGATAACGTTTACAAACATCCCTACCTTTATAATATCGAAAATGAATATGATTTGAGAAAAGAATACGATTCGAAATCGAATCCTTATTTGAAAAATTTAAGGTACGATGATGACGACGACGACGTCGATGAATCGAATCTCGAAAATTTATCGATTTTCGACCGAGTTTTAACAAACGACAGGCGGAAAAATTTATTGAAAAGTTTTTCACGTAATTACAACACTCCGGAAAAATTTAGAAAAGGTCACGAATCAAAAGATGAAGTTTTCTATCCGAAATTGTTATCTTTTATCAACGGAGATCAATCTATGGAATATTATTACCCGGAAGATAGACAAATCGTTTACGATGGTTACGGTGGAATCACTGATAATAATGATTTTACCAAACTCGATGATGATAATAATGATGGCGTGTACACGGAAGGAGGTGTCGTTTATATAAAAGACGATGGAAAAAGTAAATGATAATAATTTTCCTAAAAAAAAAAAGTTTTTCTGGTTTTAAAAGAGAAAATAATTTTAATTTTTTTTTTTGTTACAAGATGACGACAACAACCAGCGGGATTCATTGGAAGAACTTATGAATACATACGGAAATTGGGGATTTAAACGTCCGGAACGTTTAGATGTTAAAAAACCAGGACCGGCTTACAATACTAATAATTATGCATTTGTTAGAGAAAATAATAAATCCGAAAAAATAAACGAAGGTAAAAAAACGAACAAACAAACAAACGAATTTTTAATAATATTAATTACCGTTATATGGGTATTATTTATTCGTACCACCATTTTTAATTGTTTTGATAATTTTTTTTTTTTTTATTTCCTCGTTTAGTACGAGGGAAAGAAAAAAATGATAAACAAACGGAAAAACCAAACAAACAAAACGTGGATGGAAAAACGTTTGTTAATTTATTGGAAAAAAAGAAAGGAGGGTCTCCGATGGAAAGTCCAAGTTTAAGACGTTTAACGACAACCGTACAACCGACTATTAAAGAAAAAGATGATTTTACACAGCAACAAGACGAAGATTATGCTTACGTCATACTTAAAAACAAGTAAGAACCGCGACATTTTTTTTCTCCCCCCTTTTTTTTACATATGAAAATTTTTATTTTATTTTTTTTTAGGGTTAACACTTGGCAAGAAGGTTCTAGAATCGTTCGTAAAGTCGAAGAATTACTCGATCTTCCTCAAAACACTTTTACCAACATAAGAGTCGATCAAAATTCCGTTAAATTTAAAATTGATTCGAATCGTTTGAATTTAAACGCAAGCGAAACTATTAAAAAAATCGGTAAGTTATTATTATTATTATTATTATTATTATTATTATCGTTATTATTACGTCATTTGTTTTAATAATCGATTTCGTGACGTTGTATTAGATTCGATGAAAGATTCAATACAGAGAGCGACAGGAATCGAAATAGTTTCAACCAAAGTTGGAAATCAGGTTCGTATTTGGTAAAAAGAATGACGTCATTGGTCGTCTCTTTGGAATTTTTTTTGATTTTTCACGATTCGTTTCATTCCAGAATCATTCTCCGACGGCTGTAAGTCTATTGGGTGGAGACGAACGACAGCTTTGGATTTTGTCTTTTTTATTATGTGCAGTCATAGCAGCCGTCGTCATCGTGGGTACGGCATTTTTTATCATAAAAAGACATCCTCACGGAAGTAAAAAAATTGATAACCTTTCGCAAATGGATTCGGAAGCGAGCAAAGACTATCAAGTGAGCCAAGCGTGACGATTCTCTTAAATAAAAATAACAAAGATGGTAAAAATAATTATTCAAACACTAATTCCAGGATTTGTGCCGTGCGAGAATGGCATCGAAAACGGCACAGGATAAATCAGAGGGAAACATTGCGAGTCATAGAGTAACAAGTTTGGCAAAAGAATCCGAAGGACAAAATCATTCACCTTCTTCGAGATCTAGCACATCTTCGTGGTAAATATTGAATTTGGGTTTTATTCGGACTTTTTGACCACTAATCTAAATTCTTTTTCCGGTTTCAGGAGCGAAGAACCTGCTTTGACAAACATGGATATATCCACAGGACACATGGTTTTGGTAAAACCGCAAAACTTTTATTAAAAAAAAATGTCTTTTCCGTTCTATTTTTAAAATAAATTTTATTTTCAGTCGTACATGGAAGATCATTTAAAAAATAAAGATCGTTTAGAACAAGAATGGGTAGCACTTTGCGCATACGAAGCCGAACCTTGTGCGACGACGATCGCATTACAAGAAGACAACATAAAAAAAAATAGATACGGTGACGTGTTACCCTATGACCATGCTCGAGTCGTTTTAAATGAATTGTTCAATGCTTCCGGATCGAGTTACATAAATGCTTCAACAATCGTGAGTAAAACTTTGTCGTATGCGACTGATAAGAAAATGAAATAAAAAAATGAAAAATTTCAGACCGATCACGATCCACGTAATCCGGCATATATAGCCACGCAAGGCCCACTACCGCAGACGACGACAGATTTTTGGCAAATGGTTTGGGAACAGGGTAGCGTCGTTATGGTTATGTTGACTCGTTTAACAGAAAACGGTACGGCTATGTGTCACAGATATTGGCCGGAAGAAGGTTCGGAAATATATCACATATACGAGGTAAAAACGCTTTCCTCCCCTTTCCCACCCACTGCCCTTCCGGACAATATTTAAAAGAAAAACGTTTTCCAGGTACATTTGGTAAGCGAACACATTTGGTGCGATGATTATTTGGTACGAAGTTTTTATTTGAAAAATATAAAAACCGGAGAAACGCGAACCGTTACGCAATTTCATTTTCTTTCATGGCCGGAAAATGGGGTACCGTTATCGACGAAAGCACTTTTGGAATTTCGCAGGTATGTCATTTTCCCTTCCTAATTTTTTTTTCTCCTCCGGCAAAATATTAACCCGATACCTCATTTTTTTAGAAAAGTTAATAAATCTTACCGTGGAAGATCTTGTCCGGTTGTTGTTCACTGCAGCGACGGAGTCGGAAGAACCGGTACCTATTGTTTAATCGACATGGTTTTAAATCGCATGGCTAAAGGTGCTAAAGAAATCGATATCGCCGCCACATTGGAACACATAAGAGATCAACGTCTTTTAATGGTAATCATTAATCCCCCCCCTTTTTTTTATATAATTTCTTTCACCTTAACGTACCTTTTTAACGCCTTTTTTACCATCATCAGGTGAGAACAAAACAACAATTTGAATTCGTTCTTATGGCCGTTGCCGAAGAAGTACACGCCATATTGAAAGCATTACCGGCAAATCCAAATCATTCTCCTCCGCCTATTGTCAAAGAAAAAGATTAAGAAAAGGATTTAAATGGATAATCTGCATCATCTTCTCCCAATATATTTCCCCCTCACTCCCTCACTCCCCCTCCCCGAATTTGACGCTTTTAAACGTCAAACAAACAACAAACAAACATTTTATTACTTCGTTATATGTATATTATCAAAAGTAATAAAAATTTTAATAATATCTACATAAATATCATTAACATTTATTATTAATATCTATGTACTACTATTACTTTGAAATTATTATTATTATTATTACTTTTGGAAAAAAAATTACCTGTTTACACAAATATACGTATACACTTATGTAACATGCTTATGAAATTTATATTAAAGGGTAATAATAATAATAAATAAATAAAATTCTATATATTATATACATTGTTGCCAAATTGATTATTGAGTTAATTAAAAAAAATGAAAGGAAATATATAATATATTGTTTTAATTATATATCTATGACGAGAGTAATATTTTTTATATATCTATGTTATTACGTTGATATATATATATATATACTGAATCGATATATATTATGAAATGTTATATTTATTAAAAAAAAATGAGTGATAATATATATTATTAATGTTGATTATTTATGATTTAAGGTACGGTGATAATTACAAAGGTAATATTTATATACACGTCATCAAAGGTTTATATACAATTATTAAAAAAAAAAAATTATTTATGATATATATGTATGTATTATGTATACATACGTACGATTAAGTAATAATAATAATAATAATTTGAATTTATGGTTTTTTATTATAAAAGGAACCATTTAATTTTATATAAACTATAATTTTAAAATTTTTAAAATCATCTTTCTTATTCTTCTGCTCTCTCACGGTTAAAATTCAAAATGGCTACTAATGAACTGGAATTATTTTTTTCTTTTCGTATTTAATAACTGTTATTATTATTATTATTTAAATGAAAATGATGGATGTGATTTTTTAATTAATTAATTTTAATTTTTTTTTTACATTTCGTGAAAAAGATTTTGGATTTTTTTTTAAATGTACGTATCTCTTATTAAAAAAAGCGAGGGAAGTAATAATGATAATGATAATGTTAATAATAATAATAATAATAATAATAAAATTCCAGTGATTAATGTTTATTAAAAAAAAAATTAAATAAAAGGAAAATCCGATTCGGGATTTTTTTTTTTTTTCATTATTTATAACTCGATCGTTTTGCGTCCATCCATTTATTATGAACGTAACTTATCATTATTATTATTATTATTATTAATGAAAAAAAATATATATATATTTTATAATAATTTAATTTTAAACTTGTTTTGCAAAGGTATGACGTCACGATATTTTTTTAAATGGACGAAGATTTTTTTATTAATGTCACAAAATTTTAAATTTCGTTGGTAAAAATTAAAAAAAAAAAATTTATTGATCGATGAACGAAATTTCGAATAGAAAAAATGTACGCCATTTTTAATTTTTTTTTTTAATTTACAGAATGAAAATAATAATAATGATAATAATAATAATAATAATAATATAACACGTGTAACAAGAAAAAAAAAGATTTAAAATATCTTTAAATAAAAATGGCAAATTATTTGATAAATTATTATTATGCAACTTATGTGTTTAAAAAAAAAAAAAAAAAAAACTATTAATAAATATATATATGTATACATATATAACATAAATGCACGATCATGAGCGTTATAAATAATAATAATAATAATAATGATATTAATAATAATAATCACAGGTCTCTCAGCCTCTTTTTAATTTTCTTTTTCAATTGATAAAAATTTAAATTTAAATTTAAAATTATTTAAATGTTGATTGTTACGACCCATTAAAATTTAAAAAAAAAATTATTAATTTTAATAAATAAATAAATAATTCTTATTATTAAGTATTACATAAGTTAATAAAAATTTTATAAGGAGTAGGAGGAAAACCTTTTTTCGAATGAAAAAAAGGTTTTTTTTAATATTTTTTATTTATTTATCATCATTATCATCATTATTGATAATTTTTTCGTTTGTTTCCATTTTGTTGTTTATGTATATTTATTTATTAAAATTGTTATGTAAACATAAAAAAAAAAAAAAACAAAAAAAAGTAATAATAATAATAATGAAAACCGGCTTTGAATGTTTTTTATGTTAATTAAAAAAAAAAAAAATTAAAAAAAAATTAAAAAAAACGCTACGCAAAATCCCATTAATGATAATAATAATAATTATACAAAATTATTATTGATTTATTAATTAAATTTAATTAATTGTCGGGAGAAAGTAAGACTGCTTTACTTTTCCAATATTTTATTAATTAAAAAAAAAAAAGAGAAAAGAGAAGAAAAAAAATTATAATTATCGATTTTTTTTCTTTTTCGATCGCAATCATTTATTGATTTATTGATTTATTTATTTATTATTATTATTATTTTTTTTTTTTTGAATGAAAAAGGAAAAAAGTTATTATTAGTTACGAGACCGCATGATTGATTGATCAACCTTTATACAATTATCCCGCATATTCTCTCTCTCTCTCTTTTCCCGCCTTTTTTTTAATTTAAATTCTGAGGCATTGATGAGGCCTGATTTACCTTTTACGTATTTCCATGAGTATAGAAAAACATTAACGCGTGCATTTATTACTTTTCCACACACACGACACGTTTCCATCTTTATTTCAGAAAACAACCGAAAAACGTCCATATTTATTTGCCCTATTTAAATAATAATAATAATAGATTTAAAGTCTTCATTTTTTTCCCTGATTTCTCAACACCTTTAAAACAATTTAAAAAAAAAAACTTGTAAAATTTATTGTAAATGATTATCATTCATCAATTAAAAAATTTTCAAAGCCGACACAACCAACAACCAGTAACAACAACAACAATTAATTATCAGTGACCTTTCATTTTTTTTTATTTCTTCCTCCCCCTCCCCCCGCCTCCCTCAAAATCGATAAACCCTTAGTTATAAATCCATTTTTTAAATAGAGTCTGTTTGTACCTGAATAAATAAAATTTTTATTAATATCTATTTATTTTTCTTCGGTGTCAATAATTTAAATAATAATGATAAAAATGATAATGATAATATAAAATTATTAAATAAATAAAAAAATTTAATGGAAAAAAAAACGAAAAAAAAAAAAAACTTGATTGTATTATTCGAATTATTCATTAATATGTGAATCAAATATGTTAATATTAATAATAATAATAATCGAATCGTAAATTAAAAAATCATTACATGATTTATTATTATTATTATTATTAAGTATTTATTTTTTTAATTTTTTTTTTGGAAATTTTCTCTCCGGTAGAAATTTTTTTTTAAATATTTTATTTCACCTTCGTCTTATTTAATGTTTATATATATGATAAATAAAATTAATAAACAAACCGAAAAATGAAAATTAATTGATTGATTGATTGATCGATTGATCAATGTGAAAAAAAGCAGAAAAAATAATAATAATAATATTTAAAAAAAAAAAATGTCTGTTATGATGGAATTAAATATTTTAAAAAAAAATTTATTTCATTAATTAATAGAATAAAATATGTTAAATGTTGTGACAGCATAATTATTATTATTAATATATATTATTAATATCATCACATTGCCTCGTCATTTTACTTTTATTTTTGGGGGGGGGGAGCCGGAACGGGAATATGAATTCGATTCCAGAAAAGGAAAAGATTTTGACAAATTTATCCAAATGGAATAACGAGGCCGTTCCGGAATTTTTCTCTTACGAAACGCAACAAATTCGAAAATTAGGAGAAAATCATTTTCGTATTAAACGTCATTTTCGGTTTACCTGTATCATCCAAGAAATTTTTCGCTTTGGAAAATGTCGTGAATTTCACGCGTCGGCGGCTTTGAAGAAAAAGTTTCAAATTCGGGAAAAAATTTCGTTTTAAATTTAAATATGACCGCGAAAATTATTATTATTATTATGACGATAATGTAAATACAATAAAATTTTCCGATTATTTTCCCAAATCGTGTACAGACCCCCACCAAGCAAACTTCACTATTGTAAAACGATTTGAAAATTCAACGGTTTATATAGTCTGTATGACGCTACGAAACGAACCAATCAGAATCGTTCGTTTAAAAATGATTCGTTCTCATTGGTTATCGATTAACCAATCATAATCATTCTTAATGAAACTTTCAAAGAGAAAACAATTAATTTATTTATTTATAATCATCGATTGACCCTTGCAAAAAAAAAACTTTTCACGTCCGGGGTTACCTTTTATTAATTTTAAAAACCTTTTCGTAAAAACCTTTCATAACTTTTTCTAAATTAAATAATAATAATTAATTTAATTTAATTATTAATAATTAATAAAAAAATTTTTTTTTACAACTCCATTTTTATTTATTCCCTTAGGAAAAAAAATAAAAAATAAAAAAAAATGTCTGACGTTTATAAAAATTTTCTCGAAAAAAAAAAATTTAACTGGGAATCATAGGAATTTTCTTAACGAAAAAAATTTTTTTTTTTTCAAATTTTAAAACGTATTATTATTATTAATATTATTAATATTATTTGACACAATTAAAAAAATTTTATTAATATTATTATTAAGTTTTTTATTATTATTACTATTATTAATTTATTATTAATTAAAATTATTAATCGATTAAAAAAAAAACAATTTTTTTCTCATATCCATTTAAAATAATAATAGTTATTATTATTATACTATTAATATTATTATTATTATTACGTAATAAAACGACCGAATTGATAATTGATAACACGAGAAAAAAAATAAGAAAAAAGATTAATAATTGTGATAATAAAATTAAACACGTGTATTCCCTCGTGTAAAAAGAAAAAATTTATCAAGTGTGTGTGTGTGTGTGCGTGTGTGCGTTTGCGTGTGCACGTGTATCGTAGGTAATCAAACTAAGACCTTCTCGGTTCGAGTTTTTGCGATAAGCTCATTAATTGTTTTTGATTATCGATAACGCGAAGGCAAGAGATGTAAGATCGAATGTTTCCTTCGCTTTTCGGTGACGGCGGTTCCAGGGTTAAATGTCTGCTCCTTGAATATCTCATTGTTCGGATTGTCTGAGCGAACAAATGCATTTTTTCAAAATTAACCAAACCGTCGGTAAATGTTTTGTGATTTTCTTGCGCGCAATTCATGTCTTAAAAAAAAACAAAAATTTATTTTTATTGCACACCCGCGAGAAAAACCAAACAATAATAATAATAAATTACCCTTTATTAAAAGCGGCATAAAAGGCAGGACCGGAGGTTGTAATTTACCAACGGCAGCTCTATAAGCTCTGTGATTTCGTGACGAATCGATCAATATTTCAAATTCTGTAAACATTTTACGAAATTTATTTGGTAGTTTTTCCCACGTTAACGACAAACGCGACACGGCTTGATTGTTCAGACCCGTTATTATAGCTAAAAAGGCATTAAAGTTTTGATATTCTTTGCAACTGTAAAAAAAAAAAAGGAAAAATTTTCAATCATCATTAGTACCATCATCATCGTCGTCGTCGTTGGCGCCGCCATACTTACTAAGAAGCTAATTTTATCAGTTTTCTTAAAACCGTTACTCTTTTGCTTAAACTTTGAGTGTGAAGGATTTCCGTTGCTACCCAATATTGTATTTCATTGAAACGACGTAAAAACATTTCCAAATTAGCCGTTAATTCGCCGAAATGATGTTTTCCAATCACGTGATAAAGCATTTCGTACTTTGTGAAAAAAAAAAAAATTATTATTATTACTAACAATGTTTTCCAATCGTTTGTTTGCAAGTTTTTACACGTGTTTGTTCGTTCTAACACTAACCTCGTTAATACAACAAAAAAGTTCCCAATCAAAATGGGTCATGTGATAAGCTAATTCTTTAGTACTAAATGATTCAATGTCGTTTTCTTCGCATTCCGTCGGTTGTTCTTGCTCAGGCACGATCGTCTAAAAAAATTTTTTGTTAATTTTTCAAAAATTTTTTTAATGAAGGGAAAAAGAAAATTCGATTTGAAACTCACCAAAGCGTCTAAATGATCACGTGGTGACACAAACAATCTTCCGTTAAGAGATAATGCCGTCGGAACGTTAACATCTTGATCTTTGATAATTATTCTTTCACCGGATGATTTCACTTCCGCTAATGCTAAATCATCGAAATTACGTAATTTTAATCTATCAGCAGCCGATAATTTTATCGCTTCCGCCGTGGAATTAAGTGGCATTCTGAGTGTGCAATACGTGTGATCCGCACAATAAACCCGAAATATAACTTGAAAGAAAAGAAAATTTATTAAAATCCGACTTTAAAGTTTAAAAAAAAAGGGAAAAAATTTAACAAACTATCATCATCCGGTTTCATCATTCTTTGAGGACCGGTACCACCGGAAAATAAACTTATAGGTTGTCCGTAAGGTGGTAATTTCCATTTTTTTCCACTGTGTTTTTTAACTTCATCATCGTGTCTGACCATTTCCGTTAATATGTGATGCATAAGACTCGCTTCTTCTTCTAAACTTCTATAAGTCGAACTTTCCGTTTCTATTTCTTTTGATATTTCCTAACGAAAAAAAAAATTAATCATATTAAAAATGTTTAAACGATGAGGATTAAACGTTTTACACACACCTGAAGAAAAGATCTAAAACCGGAACTTGAAAAAACCGGATATCTTATCGTAACGACCCATCGGTGTATAAATCTAATAACTTTTTTTTTACATGCCAATGCGTAATCACGATTTTGATTTGGTAAAAATGCGCGGTATGTGTTTAAACCGTTAAGGAAAAATCTCTTATAAATGGTTTATAATGATGATAATAATAATAATAATAATAATAATAATAATAATAATAAAAAGGATATTGCTTTGATAATAGATTGACGAGATCCGTTGTTGTCATGAAGGCAACGTATGTTAATAAAAAATCATCAACGAAATAATCAGAATGTGGTACTTGTAGGGATTCTTTACCCCCAACGGATCCCCTTATTTTCATTCTCGTTTCCAAAAGATGTTCGAGCATTTTTTCCGGTGTTCCAGCTTTCACTACGTAACTGGACAAAAAAAAACAATTATCGTACGCCGTCATTTTGTTATATTTCTCATAGTCTTTCTCAATACTTATAAACTTACTTAAACTGACTTTTGTGATGTTGATTTTGTATTGTTTTCTCCAAAACGAGTACGTCATTTCCGTGTTCTTGTAATCTAACCGTATTTGCTTCGACATCTTTAAGAATTCTATTAAAATTTTCTTTATCGACTCTTAAAAAATGACAATTATTTTCTCTTAATATAATTGTTGCCGCTCTGTGTGATTAAAAAAAAAAGTTTAATTATTATCATCATCACCATCGAATGAGGAGGGGGTGGGGGTGGAAGGGGAAGGGGTGGGAAATTACCTCGGCGTATCGTTAACCAAAGCTAATTTACCAAAATCATCACCTTCTTGTAAAACCGTTACGGTACCTTTACCATAAATGACAACATCAACGGATCCCCGTAAAATTATGTACCAAGATTTACCTTCTTCTCCTTGTTCGAACACTGCAAAAAAAAATTTCACATCAATCATCCTCGTTTGTTCGTTTGTTGTTTAAAAAATTTTCGACTCACATATCGTTCCAGCTTTTGTATGAGCTTCGAAAACAATGACCGACGTTAATTCTCTTTTGACGGTATTTGATAAATGTGATAAAGCCGTTATGTGAATTAATTCTTCATAAATTATTTCTAATTCTTCGGGAGTTCTTTCGTGGCTTCTGCAAACAAACAAACAGACAAAACAACGTTTGTTTAATAAAAATCCATTTTGTCGAAACAAAAAGAAATTTTTTAAATTGATTGATATTCCTCACGGTTTTCTAAGCATCATTCTTAATGCAGCATCTGGAGCTCTTTTGGCTAATATTGCCAGGCACTCCGAAAGGCACTCGACAGCTTCATTTAATTCTTTTTGATTTGGTAATTTTCCACCGCCATCTTCATCTTCCCAAAATTGATAAAGTAAATTTTTATCTTTGAATATATGTTCCCGATTAACTGTAAGTAAAAAAAAAAACAATTTATTTAATTTATTTGTTATTATAATCACCCCCCAAAAAAAAAAAATTTTTTTACCGTGTATAAGAACTCCTTCTTCTATCAAAACCTGCCACATGATTGTCGCCTGTTGTCTGCTGGTATCCATTTGATCGCATAACCAATCCACTAATTCTATTCCAGATCCACATTTCCATAATATTTTATTTTTTATTTTTCTATCTTTTAATAAAATCGTTTTACATAATAAAACCGAACGTAGTACCCAACCTATGTGAGACACTGGAGCACTCGGAGACTTTTTTTTTTTTTTGGAAAAACAAAAAAATTAATTTAAAAAAAAAAAAAAAAAATTTTTTTTACGAAAAGGAAAAAATTTAAATTACTTCCAATATTGGAGAAACGGAGTCTGGAATGTCTGGACTTGATGGCTGCGGTTTATTACCGGTTGATGTCATTGTATACGTCATTGCTCCCGGTTTACCTCCGTATCCTGGACAAAAAAAAAAACCACTGGAACTATATATGATGAAAAATAAAAATTCCCCTCAACGACGACACATTTACATAAACCGAATCCTTTTTAAATATCTGTATCTGACGTCATTAATTTTTTTTTTTTTTTTAAATGACCTCATCCTCTCATGAAAATAATAATAATGATAATGATAATTTTTTTAGAATGAAAAAACGTTTAAACAAACGAGAATTTTTTTTTTTTTTTACAAATAAATTTATCCAGTTTGGGGGGTGGAAGGGGAGGATAAGGAAGAGAGAGAGGGGGGAAATTGTTAAAGAAAAAAAAAAAAATTAAACGTACCGTTTTTATGTTTAGAATTTCCAATAAATTCCGACATGGAATCTTTGTTTTTCTGGAAAAACAAGAAGAAAATGAAAAAAGAAAAATCAAAAAAAAAATTTTCTTTGTTGAAAACACTTAAATTACTTGTCGACATTAATTGGTTTTTAAAAAGTGACGTCATTTAACAATAGGCAAAAGTATGAGAATGGATTTTTTTTAAATTCATAAAAATTTTAACCTGGAATTCACTGGAAATTTCCAGTGAATCAAGTGCATATACGTATAAACTTTATAAAATTGAAAAAAAGGAAAATGAAAATGTTTATTAAACTTGTATTTTGGAAATGAAAAGAAAAAAAATTTTTTTTTTTACCATAGCTCCTCCCCTTTATTCTCAATTTCCCCTCCACACACATCCTTCGCCCCCTTCCCCCCACCACCACCACAACCAATAACATCACCTTTTTCTTTTCTTAATAAAAAAAAAAAAAAAATTCACGATATTTATCCAACCGGAAATTATTGTTAAAAAATTTTTTTCCTACTTTTTTTTTTATATTGAAAAATTTTTATATATAAGGGAGCCCCCCCCATATATATAAAAATTTTGTTGTGCGTACGTAAACGGGGGAATGGCGGTTGATGATTTGTAGTTTCCTTTGCGATTTATTAAAAAAGAGAGAAAAACAAAAGGCAAACGACCTTTGAACTTTTTTTATTTCACGATGTGATGGATGAAAAATAATTACCTACGACGTATTTATAAGTCTTTAGATTTCTTATTTTTTTTTTAACCGGGATTAAAAAAAGTCTATTTTTATAGTCTATAAAAAACTTTTAAATTAATCAAAAAAAAATTGGAGCACAAAAAAGGAGAAACGTTTATTCCTGTCGGAGTGTAATTTCGGGAAAAAAAAAAAAAAGTCATTACGGAAAAAGGAAAATGAAAAAGGATTGAGAAAAAGGATGAAGATGTAGTGGAAAGGTCTTCGAAGGGAGGGGAAGGGGAGGGGAAGGAAGAGAGTGGGGGAGAGGAAAGAAGAAAAAAAAGATTAAATTTTTTTTTTTTTTTTAAAACAATGGATTTTCCGGATTAAAAAAAAAAAGGAAAAAAAATAGAAAAAAAGATTAACAAAGTTAAAAATTTAATTTACAAACGTGAAAATTTACGTTCGTGGTGACGTCAAACATTTTTTTCTCGAATGATGTTTTCATTTTCTTATCATTATTATTATCATCGAGCATAAACAATTTCGAAAAAAAAATGGCGGATCGACGACGAACATTTCCGTCGGATTGTTTCTATGCAGGAGCGTATCATTATTACATCAACCCCCGTGATTTCTTCCCTTTCCCTCTCCCTCTCCCTCTCCCTTCCCACTCCCCGCCCCCCATGAAAATCAAAGAACGAAAAAAAAAAAACATTCCGACTGATTGTTTTTGCTGACATTGAAAAATATTTTAATTTGCGATTCGTTTGAAAAAAGTTTTTTTTTTTCGGATGTTCTTTTAATCGTTTGAATAAATTTTACACAAGGATTAAATTTAAATATTTTTTTTTACTTTATTGGATTTGTGTTTTCTCCCCCCTCTACCCCCTCCCACCATTCGATTATGCGTATAAAAAGTATCGCTACGCAACATAAAAAAAATTATCATTCAATTTCATTCGTTCGTTTTTTTAAATCCCTTTTTTTTTTAAAAAAAATTTGGTAATTTTTTAAAATGTCGAACGAGGGATAAGTCGTTGGAAAAAATAAAAAAATGAATTCATGAACGCACTCTCATGACTTCCCGTATACGAATCACGAATCACGAACGAATAATTTTTCATTATGATTTAAATGACGTCATCAATTGTTTTTTTTTTCAATTTTCAAAATGGCGTATACCATTGCTATTATTAATTTTATTGAAAACTTATTTTTTTTGGGCGCGTTTTATTAAAACGATTTAATAAATTTATTTATTAAAAAATAATAATAATAATTTTTAAATTTTCATTTTTAAGTATTCTATTTAATTCGCCCGCCATTTTTAAACTCTTACGTTAAAAATATTTTTTTTCTTTTCTTTTTCTAAAGTTGGTAAGTAAACATAAAACAAACGTAACCCATTTTTATCATCGGACTTTTTTTTTTTTTTTAAATTTACGATTCTCCATTTTGTTTCTTTTCTTTTCTCTTTTAAAATGAACGTAAAAAAAACAAAAATGGCGGAAAATTATTATTATTAAAATAAACGACTTCTTTTCATTTTCTTTGTGTTTTTGTTTTGTTTTTCTCAACCGAAAAAATAATGATGATGGTAATAATAATAATACTTACTTCCCATACCAATTTGAAATCTTGATTTTTAATGCGAAATAATTCGCAAGTTGTTTGTGTTGCAACGGTTGCGTGTCTCGGATGTTCGTCTAATATGTTTTCTCCAAATGTTGAACCAACATCTAAATATTTAACAACGAACGAAGAACCCTGCACATATTTAATTAAATATTATTATTATTATTATTATTATTATTATTATTATTATTATTATTATTATTATTATTAATACGTAAAACTTTGTATAACTTTGGTCGTCGTTAAACTTTTTCAAAAAACGCCCCAAACGCTTTAAAACGAAAAATTTTTCTATTCATTCATTTACTTATTATTATTATTATTATTAATAAAGTTATAAAATTGATTGAATCATTTTTGTTTGTTTGTTTTGTGAATTAATTTTCGAAGGAGTTAAAAAATGGTGATTGAAAATTCAATACGTGCGTGAAAAATAATATGCATCGAATAAGGGGGGAAAGAAAAAACGGAAACGGAAATGTAAAAATCGAAAAAAAAAGCGTTAAATAATAATAATTTCAAAATGGCGTCGTGAATGCCAAAAAAAAAAAAATGAAAAATAAAAAAGTTTGGATATTTTACATCAACGATTTTAAAACAAAATAATAATGTGTTTATTTAAATGTGACGCCATCGCCGCCGCCCCCACCACCACCACCACCACCGCCGCCGCCCCCACCACCACCACCACCACCGCCGCCGCCCCCACCACCACCACCACCACCGCCGCCATTTCCTTTTCCGACTGTTTTTATGGGGAGAGAGAGAGGGAGAGAGAGAAAAAAAAAACTTTTCGATTTTGTCACATGGTGTGAAATCGAAACGTGTAAACATTTTATTTAAAAAAAAAAACTTTATTTATTTATCAATTATTTAAATTTTATTTATTTATTTACTAAAAAAAAAATTAATAAATTAACGATAAATGCGGGGGTAAAATAATAAGCGTTTGTAACCGTCGAACTACACAAAAAAAAATTAAGAGAGAGACCGAACGATCTACCAATCAGAGCGCGAGTTTAAAAAAAATTTTTTTTTCTTAAAATAAATTTAAACGTTGATTTTAATCACGATTTTAAACCTTTTACTCTCCTCCCTCCTCTCCTTCCTCCTCTCCTCCCCTCCATTCTTTTCGTCCGAACTTATCGTTTTTCGTTAAATTCATTATATTTAATAATAATAATAATAATAAAACGTCACGTATTAAACATTTTTTATTTTTTTAAACTATTTTCCATTTTGCAACCGATTAATTTTTTTCTTACTTATTTGTAATTTTTTTTCTTTTATTTTTGTTTCTATAAAATATTAAATAGTCTATATTTATAGACTATAAAATTGTTTATATGAAAAAATATATTTATATACATTAAGAAGAATAATCGAGATATATTTATTTTTTCGTTGGAAAAAAAAACCTTCGATAAAATAAATTTTTTGTTATTTTTTTGTTGTTGCTGTTTTAAAAAATTTGCGGTTTTTTAAAAAAAAAACAAAAAAATTTCGACTGGAAAAAAAAAAAAATCTTTTAGTAAAAGAAGAAGCAAATAATAATCTTTTTGGCAAAATTTCATAACGTTCGTTTCTTTTATTTATTTATTTATTTATTCATTACTTGAAGAACGAATTGTTTTTCCGGAATAACAAAAAAAAATTGGATTAAATACAAAAATCTTAGTAAAATATAGTAATCGATATCATCGTCTCTCTTATATTCATGCAACGACGCCTCCCTCCCTCCCCTCCCCCTCCCCTGTGAAGAGGGAGGATAGGGTAAGGGGCCGGGAGGGTAGACGTGAACGTTTCCATCTCAAAAAATAATTTTTATATAATTGGAAGAAAAAAAAAAAAATTTTAGTGTTGCCCACACAGATTTTTCGTCCGTTTTAATTTTTTTTAACGGTTTTCTCGTTAGCTAAACATTAAGTTAAAAAAATAATTTAAATTTCCTTGTTTGCCGATTCGTTTTTTTTTAGTTTGCCTTTTTTTTTGCAAACACTTACTAAAGATAATAATAATAATAATAATTAATTGAATCGTTAAAATTTATTTGTTTTAATTAAAAAATTAATTAATTGATTTAATTAAAGGGTAGCGAATAATATTAATAATGAAAACGATAGGAAAAACCAATTAAATTATTATTATTATTATTGTTATTGTTATCATTGAGGATGTTATCGATCGTAGTGATAAGAATCCCACGCAGGACGATTAGTTTGATTTTTGTTTGCTGGATGATAAAATTTTGATTTTTGTAAAAAAAAAATTTACTTCGCGTAAGCACGAGCGTGGAAATTTTAATTTTATAATTTGAAAATGTAAAGTAAAAAAAAAGGGAAGAAAGGTCGAAAGGTCGAGAGATGAAGAAGAAAAAAAAAAGGTTTACCAAAAGGGAAGATTAAATGAGAGCAAAGCAAAGAAAAACAAAACGAATAAATTTTTAAAAAGAATTTTTTTTAAACATAAATTATGATTATTATTATTTCGAAAAAAAGAAAATTAATCAAAAATCTCTTAATATTATTATTATTATTATTTCCAGTACTCTCGTTCCATTTTCCAAAATTTTCCGAAATAAAACAACAAAAGACAGTAAAAAAAATTACACTCAACAAGAACAACAACAACAAAAAAAAAGGGAAAATTATTATCCGGCTTTATGTTCATAAATAAAATAAATTTTTTACGGGTTTAAACCTTAATAATGATAATAATAATAATGATAATGATAATTTTTTTATGGAATTCCAAATTCCATTCTCCAGTTCCAAAAACAAAAAAAATTACGGCGATTTAATTAAATGTGAAAATTTTTCTTTTTTTAATTTTTTTTGTCTATAAAAAATTAGAGCGTGAAAATTTTAGTTTCTTATTTTTTTTTTAGTTATATAATTAAAAAAATTATTTTTATTGCCAACATTTGAAAAAAAAAAAAATTTCTCCATTAATCATTTATCAATTATAAAAAAAAAAAAAAAACGTGTTTTTGTTTATATTTTTAAAACACGAAATAAACATTAAAAAAAAAAGAAAAAATTTTTTTTGTTTTTAAAATGTTGGCAACCGTGTGTTTTTTTTTCATTTTCTTTTTTCCGGATGAAAGAAATGTAATTAAAAAAAAAAAAAAGAAAAGAAAATTGTGCGTAAATTTTAAAATTTGATTTTTTGTTTAAATTTTTCATCGATTTAAAAAAAAAAATTTTTTTTTATATTTTAATGTGTTAAACGTGCGTAATCGTCCAAATTTACGCTCGCGTTTATTTTAAATTAATCAATTTTCCTTACGTTTAATTTTTCCGAATTTGGTTTTTCTGACGTTGCGTTTAACCGCAAATGAAAAAAATTTTATTTTATTTTATTTAAAAAAAAATATTTTAAACATTCAAATTGATTCGGAAAAAAGAAAATTCTTTTTTTTTCTCTTAAACCCCCTCCCCCTTTTTTTCTTATCACGTTGCCAACTTTACGTTTTGGAAAAAAAAAAAACTGAAAAATGTGAACGAGCCAATGAAATAATACATATGCACATATATATATATATATTTTTTTTTCCACGCTTTCTTATGCCACGTCTATTTTTTATTTTTTTTTATTATGCCAAGTTTTTCCATTCTCTCTCACTTTATCTCTCTCTTTCTCTCTCTCTATTTCTGTCTGTCTGTCTTAAAACGCTTTTGATTAAAAAAAAAAAAAAATTTATTTATTTATTCGTCTGTTTCTTTTTTTTCCCTCCGTTTTTGTTGTTCTTATTGTTGTTGCAGAAAATTTTACGAATTGATTTTTTTGTTTTTTTTTTCTTAGTCGAGACGAATTTTAAATTGTTTTTACTTTTATTTCTGAAAAATGACTGGAAATAACTTTTTAAACTTCATCATCATCATCATCATTATTATAATTATTATGATTTGTACTTTTGAAATTTCTTAAAAAGTGATAAAATTTCATCGTGATTTTAAAGACTTTATAAACTTTTCACCAATGAAGACTTTTATTGTGAGACAGAAAAAAAAATATTAATAATAATAATAATAAGAAAACTCGAAAGTAAAAGAAGGAGAGAGAGAGAGGGAGAGAGAAACAATAAAAGTTTGAAAGAGAAAAACGTCAAAAAAGAGGCAGGGGAAAAAAAACAAAAAAAAAAAAGAGAATGAAAAGAAAAAGGTAAGAGGAGTAAAAGAAAGAGAAAACAGAGACAGAGAAAAACAATGAGAGAAACAGTAAGACAGAAAAAAACTAAAAAAGAGTAGGAGAAAATGGTAGGGAGACAAATAAAAACTGAAAAAGAGAGAGAGTGAGGTAGAAAAGAAGAAGGATATAGAGAGAGAAAGAAAGAGAAGACAGAGAAAATTAGAGAGGCGGAAAGAAACAATAAAAGAGAGAGAAAGTTAGTAAAGAGAAAAACTAAGAGGATGAGAAAAAGAGAGAAGAAGAAAAAAGTTATAAAGAGAGAATGAAAAGAAGAAAAACACAGGAAGAAAAAGAAAGAGAAAAAATAAAGAAAGGCAGAGACAAAGAAAGACAGAGGCAGACAGACAAAAACTAAGAAAAAGAAGGAGAGAAAGAGACAAAGAAAAACGATGAGCGTGAGAGAGAGAAGGAGAGAAAAAAGTAGGAAGACGAATAAAAACTAAGAAAAAGAGAAAAAGAGAAACAAAAAAGGCAACGACAGAGAAAGACAAAGAGGTAGAAAACAACTAAGAAAACGAGAAAGAAAGAAAGAGAGAGAGAGAGAGATTATTAAAATGTCAAAAAGACGTTAAAATAATAAAATAGAAAAGTCAATTAATAAATAATTTTTTTTCTTTCCCGTCCCCTCTTCATTATAAAAAATTTAATTTCAAATCAAACAATTTTTATAGTTTTTCTTACCGTAATTAAAAAGTAATAAAAGTGAAATAATTAATTATCCAATTTTATAAATAATTAATATAAAAAGAAATTTTACTTAAATATTTTTCAATAAAAATAAATGAATAAAAGTTTTCACGGTTCTTTAAACATTATTAATTATTTTTTTACGCGACAAACATTATTAATTGTAAATATACATACATACATACATACATAATTATTAAATAAAAATCATTTTTTACGTGATAATAATAATAATAATAATTTAATACGTTTTCAAACACATAATTATTAATTAATTATTAATTTTTAAAAAATTTTAATTTAAATAAAATTCAAAATGGCGGAAAATTTTATTTATTTATTTTTCTTTTTTTAAATGAAAATGTCTTCTGCTAAATGTTGTTTTTTTTTTTTTTTTACGAAAAAGCTCATAAATTTTTTTTCCCGTTAATAAAATATTTAAAAAATGAGTTTGTTCCATTTTTGTCGACGATTCTTCCTTTTTAAATATTCGTAAAAATTTTTCCAGTCGATGTTCATTCTACTGGAAAAGAGAAAAAAAAAAGGAAAAAAAAGGAAATTTTGATTACATAAAACCTTTTTTAAAATTTTATTTTTAATTAACTTAAATTTAAACGAAAATAAATTTTGTTTTTATTTTTTTGCTCGGCTTCTTGTTTGTTGTTGTTGTTTTTAATAAATAAAAAATTTTTCTTTTTTTTTAATATCTTATCGTTTTTCATTATCATCTTTATAATTTCCTTCCGACAACAAAGAAAATTTTTTTTTTTTTGTTTAAAATAAAAAAAATACTTAATAGAATTTAAATAAAAATTTCTTTTTTGTTTTGTTTGTTTGTTTGTATTTTAAATACGTTTTAAATATTATTATTATTATTCAAACAAAGGAACCAATATTAATTTTCATATAAATAAAAAAATCGAGAAATGGGAAATAATAAAAGAAATGAAATTTTTTTCCTTTTTTTTTCGAAAAGATTTTAAAAGAAAATTTAAATTTTAAAATATTCAAAGGATGGAAAATGGAGTTTTTTATGCGAAGCCTATAGGGTAATTTCGTCTGCTACCTTTTTCAAAAACTACTCCTTTTTAACTACCCCTTTTTTTACTTCATTAACTTACTAAGTTTTATTAAAACTTTGAACTTAATTTAAATTTTTTTTTCTTTTTTAAGAGGAAAAATTTTCACGAATGAATGTGGTTTTGAAACCTTTTATAAATATAAAAAATTCAATTCTTCCTCCCCTCCCCAATTTTTTTATTTAGTTTCTTTTTCCCCTTTCCTCCCACCCAGAAAAAAAATCAAAGTTATGATTAACACATTTAAATTTTTTTAGTTTTTTTTTTTTAAACTAAATTTTAACAAAAATCATCTCTATACGTTTCAAAAAAAAATCAAAAACAATTTTTTTTCTTAAAAAACTAATTTATCAATTTAAAAATTTATACGATCTATAGTTTTTTTAAAATAAATTTAAAAAAAAAAAAAAAAAAAATTTTTCATGAGGAGAATTCGATGATTTATTATTATTTCTTTTTTCCACCCCTCAATTTATTTTCTTTTCTTTTATTTTTTGAAATAATTAAAGCCCTTAAAAATTTTCTTATTCGATTTATCATCTATCCCTGTCTCCCCCATCGCACTCTCCCGCACTCACCTCCCCCCTAGTAAAAACAAAAGCTTTTACGCCTGTACTCCCAAAACGGGGAAAAAAAATTTTTTTTACTTTAAGTTTATTAATTAATTAATTAAAATAATTAATAATTTATTAAATTATAAACATTAAACGCCTATTAATTAATATTTATTACCGCAGGGTAATAAATTATTATTATTATCATAATTATCAGTATAATGATAATATAAAATATCTCTCTCTCTTTCCCCCACTTTTTTTTTCATGTATAAACATCCGCCATTTTAATTTTTTCTCCGGTGATTCTCGGCGCGTTAAAATAAATTAACAA